TTTTCATCGGAGCACGTACTACTTTTCACACACACACTATAAAAACTTACATCTGCTAAAGAGCTAATTTTAAATTTGAAAAATTTGAATTATATTAAATTTGAAGCAATTTTGTTACAAATAGGCTATATAGGCTATCACACAATTACATAATTAGGTTATTTAAAAATGTTCTATATTACATTATATTTAATTAATTACCTATTAATTGGTCTGGTTGGACATTTATTACCCATGGTTTGGAAAAGGGAGATGAATTATTATATTGGCATACAGAAGAGAAACATATGGTGAAAATTTAATTATTTTATGGACAAAGTGAAAAAATACTGAATTGTTACAACAAATAGAGCACTTTTCAATTGTACTTTAACTAAGTGCAATTATAATAATTTCACCAAGACAAGGTATATATTTAAAAACAAAATCTTTCCATACAGTATCCATTCTAAATAAAACCTACATAAATTGTACAATTGTAAATTAGCATAGAGAACGTATTCAAGTTAATAGACTGGGAACTTACAAATAAATGTTAACATAACATAGTTCAGTAATTAGTACAGTAAAGATCTATTGTCGTGCACAGCAATTAAAAAACGTCTCGTGAAGCGCCCTACAAAACACGGCCGCAAAACTAGCACACGCAAGTATCACAATCACATCACGCAAAATGAAGGCGTCAACGTTATACTTGATAGAATACAAGTGTTTATAGGAGACATTGGCCTTTCTTCATATAAATAAAACTTTGATTTTTCGAAACAATGGCCTCTATTGATATACAGTAAAACTGTGGATTTCTCGATAAAGAGGTAACTTTGCCTTTCTAGATACATAACAAACTTAAGCTTTTGCATGGATATTAACATTAGATAATTCGAACTATTTTTACTAGAAGATAGAAAACACTATTTTCTCAATATACTTTTTATAGGGGTTAAGTAAAAATGAACTACATCACAATATTTTTATATAAAATGTATGGCATTTACAGGACTTTGACTAAAAATCTATCGATAAAAGAAGAAAAATTTACATGATTTTTGCTTACTGAATTTGTTTTTTTAATATTTATCAGGGTTATAATACAAGAATTTAAATGTTAAACAGGAAAAATCAGATTGCCTCTCAGAGGTAAAATAGAATCAGTGGTAAACTAAATTATCACTACTGTATACGGCTTTGGTTAAGATTAAAGTGTACAGACAATTTACTTGAACTATTCTTGTAAGCTTTGTTGTTAAAATTTGTATAATTTAACCAATTATATTCAACGGCCTAGAAGTCAAAGGCCAAAGATAGTGTGGATAGTACATATCAGCTGATATGACTGCTTATGCTGCGCTATCAGTTCAGTTTAAGTCAGTGATAATGGTGACTAATGAGTCGTTCTGACTCATCTATCCCCAAAGCTTTAGTTTCACAACCGAAAAAATAATAATATCAAAAGTAGCATTTGAATCGAAACATAGGTTAGGTAAAATAAATGCAGAGAGGGAAAAAAACTTTTTAACAATTCAAATTTTTTAATAAATGCTGAGTTACTGGTTTTAAATTGCCAGCTGTTATCAAATGTAAATATTTGTATACGAATGCTTATTAGTTGGTAAGTTGTGTGTTGTCTTTTGATCAAAGAAGGTGTTAAAATAGTTCAATTAATTAAAATATTGTTATTACCTACTTTCACTGAGTACTCATCATTTTTGTATTCGTAACAGTTTTAAAAAGTAAAATTTTCGTAGCATTTACAAAACAACCAGATGAAGATTCAAATCCATAAGCAACGAGGGTAATTTGAAATCCCTAACGACGAAATGACGTTTTATTTTTATCATGACTTTTTTATCAAGCTTTTTGCTATCGGTCTGAAGTTATTTCGTGTAAAAGGTAAAATAACTGATTGGGAATGTATTTCGGTTAGTCTACTACAATAATTTACAAATTTAGAGTATTTTTAATTTCACGAATTTTAAGTGTGGAAAATAGTTTTTTTTCAAATTCAATTTAACATAATTATTCAGGTCCAGTAAGAGAAAATTTCGTAAATTTGTTAAAAATAAATCCTGTAACTGATCGTTTAAACGGATCGTGGGCTCATGGGCACTTAACTTGCACTTCTAAAAAATATTCCTAATCATTTAGATGTATAACAAATTCGTATACAAATATCCAAATATCTATTTAGTAAATATCAAGAATACTTGAACAGAACCGGTATGGATCATAAACAAATTATGTTTCTGGCCCGAAAATAAACATTACAGTATTTAAAATTGCTTAAATTGAACTGTCCAAACTATTTGTTAATTCTATTATTAGTACCGCATGGGATTCGGACCAGTAACGTCATTTGTTTATGTTTGATCCATACCGGTTCTGTTTAAGTATTCGTGGTAAATATGTAATAAACTGTTATCTTGGCTCTAATCTGAATTGCAACTGGCTTGGAACGCACAAAACTGGATTAACCAAGGCGGTCTGTATATTTGGCAACGCATTTTGGCAGATGATGTGAAGTTCATCGGTGAGTGAATAAGTACAGCTGTTATATACAACGTACTGACTGTTATACGTCTAAACGAGCTCAATCAGTACGTGAGCTAGTGAGCTTGGGAACTAGTCTGGTGAGTATGTAAACTGGCGACCTTGTTAATTGGTGAGCTAATGGTCACGTGAACGTGAACTCGTAAGCTCGTGGTATGAGATGGTGAGTTTGTTAACAGGTAAGCTACCACGTTAACTTGTAAGCTCGTGAACCTGTTGGTAAGCTAGTGAGCGTGTGAGCTCATGAGCTGGTGAAATAAATGTTAACATAACCCGGGAACCGTGTAAGCTCCTGAACTGATGAGCTAAGCAAGCTCAGCATATTTACTGCTTCCAGTGGACATTAAGCTCAATAGCAGAGGTCAGATGAGGATGATTTGCTGAGTAAATGCATCATTGACTTGCAGATGAAAAAGCAACAGTATGCCTTAAACTACAAATCTATAAAAATTCACACGGGTTTACCAAAACGAGAGCTGGGATGGTTGTAGGGAGTATACTACATCGTCATGTACTCTAGAATCAAACAGTATAGGAATTTAAAATATGATAACAGGCATTTTATCCACAAATCATTGACTTTGGGTACCTAAAGTAGACTTATCCTACATTTGTAAATTAAGTACCTTATTTGGCGTGTATTTCTTGTACGGTATCGAAACACGACTTAGAAATATTTTGAAAACATCAGTTGACGATATGAAACACAAAAGTGAAAAAAGCTTCACTTTGTACATTGGGATGACAATTCCGTAGAACTTAGCAATGTCAAAAATCAAATTGTAAATGTAAATTTTGGTAACGTCAAGTCTAAAACCTGCTACCTTCTGCAATATAAGCAAATATAGTTTATATAAAGTCGAACCTGAATAAATACCAACCAATTCCAAGGCTTTGGTTTAGCTTTGAGGTGGATATTTGAGGGCGTGAGACACCTCCCTCCTACGATAGGGATCTTAATTACATATTCCATCAGTCTCACCGCATGTTGACTTGCCACGATATTGTTGATTGATCTGGAGGTGGAGCAGTTAACTTCACACTGTTAACACTGTTAAGTGATATACCTTTTTAGGCTGCGTTCAAACACAGGCTCGCTGCAAATCGTTAGGCCAAAAAATCCATTCAAGAAACGAGAGAAAATAAAATGTTCACTTTATGTCAAGCTACGTAAAATAGAAAATTATTATGTCAATAAAATCATACTAAGACCTGAAATTGTTTTGGTACGTATTAAAAACTAGATAAGATGTATTTCATGTTTTAAAAATACTGTACTATTGAAACGAAAGGAATATCGTACATTCCAACTTATAGGTTATTTTTTAATCATATTCAATTGCAGCTACAAAAGACAAGTATTTAATAAACAATAAAGCATCGTAAATTTTCTTAGTTACAGGTATGCGCTGTGCATCGAGATATCCTCCACTCAAAAGAATTTATGGAAAGTTTGAAATAGGCCTACAATAGTGCCACATTGGACACAATAGTATTACATTGAAATAACATTTTTCGGCAAGACACTATACAGCTAATAGATTGTGCAGTGTGTCAACAGAAAATTTGTCATTAATTTCCATGACTATCCATGACACTTGACCATTAATTTCCATGACTCACGAACTTTACTCGAAAATTATAATACAACATACACACACGAATAATACTGCCTAGACAAGTTATTTCGCAGAAAATACTGAAATATGTATTAACAGATAACAATGGAGTGCAATAGGCACAATGAAATAATACAGACTCAAAACTCATAAGCTAATACAACTGTAATAAATTGTGAAAAAATCCTAAAAGATGATACAATAGTCGGGGTTAAGGAAGACTAGAGCATTGAATGGCACCCTCAAATTCATCCATCATTGTGGTTTTCCATGACTTTTTGCCTATTTCCATGACTTTCAATGGCCAGAATTGTTTCCAAGACTATTCCTGACTTTCCAGAATGTGGACACTCCGATTGCAAGAATATAACAATTAAATTACAAAAAAAAAATTAATAATCATACAAAACCTGCTGTAAATCACAACATATTTCCCAACGATAAAAAATAACAGTAACAATGTAAACAGCGAAAAGTTCAAAAAACAATACTGTACATACACAAGTCCTACAAACCTGTAAATGAAAACATCTTACCTCTAACATGCAATATCTACTACACAGTTTGCATGCATTCATTTTTCAACAGCTACACTACAATCCGTTTTACTTAGTGCCTATTACAGCCTCAAAGTAAGCGAATTCTAGTCTACAGCGCATGCTCATAAACTACACCACAATCCGTCTTACTTAGGGCCTACAGAACCTCAAAGTAAAGTGGGCTCGACATTTACAGCACATGCTAACTACACTGCAATCCACTATACTTGAGGCCTATTCCAGCCACTAAGTAAGAAGAATTCTACATCTACATCGCATGCTCACTTGCGTTTACCTTTTGGATGTAATCGCTCTGGAGTGAACCATGCGTCTGAAAATATTTAAATAAGTTAGTTGATAAAATATGTACACAGTAAAAGCATTATAAATGCTGAGTGATTTTATGTTAAAGTCATTTATAATAAAATATCAAAACATTATTTTTATTTTGAAACAAATTATTTTCGTATTTGCAAATAGCAGTTAAATGGGTCGATAAGTTAGTTACGTATTTTATAGCAAAGCAGTAAGTTTTGTGTTTGATTAGGAAAACTTGCATTAAAATCACCCAGCATGAATCCAACACCAATGCTAAAGAAGTAGAAGAATCAGTCAATAATTCTTAAATGTATGAGTAGCAACATTATGAACTGTTCAAATAACAACAGATTTGTTCGTGATACATTTAACAGCATAGAATGTGATTCAGAGAGTACGGAATACTTAAAAGAAGACCTAAAATACTGAGCTTACAAATTAAGTGGCAAAAGACGTTGCTGTCACTTAAAGCCAGCCCTCTCCTTGGTTCGTCCATTCTAAGACCTTTCAAAGTGATGGGAGCAACCAATCATTTGATTTATAAACAAAAGCTCGTTCTGGTAGATAGCAATTTCTATGGTTTTGTGTATTTTAAGATATGATTTTTTAAAATTTATTGTTCCTTCTATAGATTGATCAGGCGTCAATTATGAATTTATCTACAACAGTTTCAGTTGCCGACAGAGGCAGAAGTACAAAACAGTTAAGTACTACAGTCGGAAATCATTTCTACGAACAAAATGTACATTTAATGTGTATGTAAAAGAATATTTCTATGGTAAGCAACCAATAAAGTAATTATAATTTACTCCTGTGGCAACTTTGCTAGCAAGAAAGGGATAGAGTATATTTTACATTGCAGATTATCCAGGAGATTTAATAAGTGGATTTCAAATTCGCCAGTAAAACATCACACCAAAACTACAATCTAATCACGTAATTGATCATCTAAATAGTCAGTTACACCCAAGAGTGCCCCTGTGATGACCTTGATTACGTAAGTGTCATTGATGACGTCACTGACTAGCCTGTAAAGTAGGCGGGTCTAAGGATATCAGCACTGCATGACACGGAGATACATATGAGCTTTTTGGCCTATAATATGTGGATATTTTTTCAACGTCAATGACATTTTGAAAGGCTCAAGCCCTAATCTTGTTACTATAGTATATAGCGTCACAATTTCTTTAGATATTCATCATCATTAATTGAGGTCAATGAAGAATTGAAAAAGTAGTATGCAAATACAAAGTCAATAGGATAAATTAATAAACGGTATCGTCCGATTAAAACACACTTTCTCCCATTAGCTTTTCAACCACCTTTGTAATGGGTTAGAGGGAGTACCTGTACTGTGGTGCATTATGGGTAAAATCACAAAATTTGCAATAACTTTTAAATCGTATTTTTTACAGCTATGGGGGTTGTACCATTTTTGTTTAGAGTACAAAAACGTAGGCCTACTTAACCATAACGGTAACATACTAAATTTTTATTAAATTCATTCATGTCGTTTTTTTATATCAGTATCCCAAGTCAATACGATAAGCCAATCCAATTCACAAATATTAAAAAAAAGAATCGTAATTGAAAATTATTCAAAACTTGATGACCACCAAAAGTAAACGTCAATGGAACTCTATGGATTCGTCGTGTAATGATAAGGTTCCAGGAATAAATATCGTATGGTAGCAATGATAAAGGCAGTGATCAAATTATGTCGACACGATGACAATATGACGATGACGTCACTATTGTATGACGGTATTTTATTGGTCCAAGGTCATAACATATCATCACGTGACAGACAGGACTGGAATGGCACGTTGGACACAATGGTGCAATACACAGTCCACATATTCACACTGCGAACTTTGACAGTCTATTTGTGCTGATGGTGCAACAATGAAACAGCTGATCAACAAACCTTATTTCAAGTAACGACAGAACGCATCGCGTCTTTTATTCAACCGTTGACAATGGATGGATATTTGGATGCATTACCGTGAAGTAACATTATTGGTAGAAGCACGATTACTAGAAAAATACCGGTATGGATCATAAACAAATGACGTTGTTGGCCCGAATCTTATACTAAACTAATTGAACATATGTTTTGGCAGTTCCATTTAAGCAATGTTAAATAATGTTTATTTTCGGGCCAAAAACGTCATTTGTTTTTATTTTCGGGCCAAAAACGTCATTTGTTTATGTTTATAATCCATACCTACCGGTATTTTTCTAGTAATCGTTGGTAGAAGTTAGCAGATATACCATTAAGAACTTCATTCAAATGATCCGCTAACAATATGTGCTTCTGAAAAATTACTTTTCCTTTGAAAGACACTAATTTCAAGATGTTTGCAACCTATTGCAACACATCTTTTATTGCTATGTCAACTATAAAAGTATGAAATGACGTACAATCAAGTCTCTATACAAGAAATTCGCTAACACGAAAACAATTCATTTGCAGCACACTATGAAAGGTTTATTTAACAATGCTCTCTTTAAATAACAAATTTTCCACCTCAAATTTTAGATGCTTTATCCATTCAGTCAAATGCTCTCTTTAAATAAAAAATTTTCCACCTACCCTATAGGAATGGGATGTCTTTCTCCAGTATGTAAAGTCAATGATTTAACATAAATAGTTTGTACATAAACGAGCAAACAATAATGAAAGTGAACGTACAATGCTGTTTGTATGAATATTACCTATACTTACGAAGAATCATGCAAATAGCATAAATAATTATATTTTCAAACAAAGATGGGTATAGTTGACAACCAGTTTTGGTTATAACATGTTCACTTTATTAGCCATATATTTTATATGAGTTGAAAAGCTTTCTCAATGGGTCTTCGAAATGATCCAATTGCATCAAACTATTTTGTAGAACAAAGGGTGAAGTGTTCCACGAGGCAAGGGATTGAGGGAAGTGGATGAAACAGAACAATGACGAATCGATGTGAACTGCCTCTCGTGGTACAATGTCTGGCTAGAGGAATACTTCTTGTGTCTTGTGGTGACTTTAGATCAACAAAGTCCGGACAAAAGTATTCAAATACAAGTCGTCGAGCATATTAAAAGAAAAGCTCTTGCATTTTTGCTTGTACATTAATTCTTTCAAGTTTAATATTAGTTAATTAATTTCTTAGGTACATTAAATCGTTTTTGATTCTCAGTCACCCAAATTTACGAAATTAATTACGATAAAAAAGAACTCACATGTTAGGACGAATATCCCCTCGAGTTCAATTTAAAAATAAGATTGTTATTATATTTTAATAATTTTCCAAGCTTAGGTTAGCAAATAGGCGATTTTCAACCTTCTGTCCTTCAATAAGGGGTTGAAAGAGGAATATTGGCATTAAGGTTTTGAAGTCAAACAGTAGATTTTGTAAACAATTTCCGATTTAATTTCATTTCATGGATTATCTGGTTTATGTATTCAAAGGCTACAGGGAAATGGCCATGACAATATAATAATAATTCAAAAAATATAAGAGTTTTGAGTACGAATGTTTATTATTGCGTTTCATCACATCACAGCTTCCATTCTTTATTAGAAGGTACACATATACAAAGATTTATAATAGAGTGGCGCCTTAGTTTTATACAGCAGATATTAAGATTTACAATGGCCTTTTGTGAACGCGGCGCTATTGTCCTTTTGAGAGCACAAAACCCAGACAACGGTTATTTAAATTTTGAAAAATTACATTACTTGATTACAAAAAAAATTATTAAATTTGATGTATGCTATTAAATGTTTTGCCAATTTGTTGAAATATGAATAAAACTACCAAAACATACCTAAATAATATTTATTTTTATTTTTTAGGTTTGTCTTCTCATCAACTCAGAACTATGCAAAACATTGTCAGGGATTCACTGCGTCACAGAAAAACATATGGTAGGAGCTGACGTTTCGGTTACATTGCAAGTACCATCATCAGAGCAGGCGTCAAGCACTACTACCGGCGTAGTCCACGAGATCGCAGATTATATTCACAATATAGTAATTCATCGAACTGTAATGCAATTGTCACTTGAAGCGTTAATCCAGTAAGATTTGCAAGTAACACAAATAATCCAACTAACGCACAAGTAATTATGTATTCTCCCAAAACCTATTAGGAAACCAAGCTTATAAAATCACAAATCCAGTTAAGTTTACAAAATAATAAATAAATGTTACAACTATTTTAGATACAGTAATTGTATTAATTGCACCACTCATACTGCGGCAAAACTTTTTCAGCTATGGATTTCAGAATTTAAAAACCGCCAATTTTCAAGCTTTAAAGTAAAGTCAATCACGGAGCTGTGCAAGTCTCAGCATCATATGACGTCATCAAGGAGCGAAACTAACAAGGGACCTCTCAACTTTGACCCTTCATGCTAAACGTGGCCTCGCAATTACAACTCTAGCAATAGGCTGCTATGTCTAAAAAGTCTAGTCAGTAGCTTTTTGATGGTTCGAAACTGGACCCAGCTGTCCCTGATCATTGAGCTTTCAATAAATTATCCTAACTAATTAAACAGCTGATCTTAGTCAGTAATAAAACTACACAGATCATCTCACTCCATTCTACAATCATCGTTCACTCATATTGGGGTTACATTACACCTAGGTGGCGTCCCCATCTTAATAATAATATTTAATGAATATTATGTTTCATAAACCATTTTTTGAAATACCAGAAGATTCACTATATTTCTCTGCAACGAGGTGAATTAAACAATGGTTATTAGAAACGATTGTGGTCAGCTATTATATAATTTGACTCCTGCTGTAACGGAACACAGATAATGTCACCTTTACATAGTCACCTTTACAGTTAAACAAAATCCTTGATAGAATATTGTTTCGATTGGTGTAAAACGAGTATATCGTGAACACAGGTTTATTGAAAGCCTAGTTTAGCAGCGAGACCTGAATGGATCGATGGTAAAATGATAACTGGCGCCGGCTCGGGCCGTCCTGGCACACAACTTGTATACTT